TACGTGTACCACCCTGTACATTTCTCCCGCACCCTATATCAAACAGCGTTCAGACTTCGCTGTAATATCCTTGCCTACCAATCGTACAACACTCTAGCACAAAAATCGTATGTGATGTACATGTATGTTCCTGCAATGGATGCATATATATTACACAAATGTCGCAGAGTAATTCCATTAATTGTTCTTCCTGGATATTGTATCAAGAGGTGAGTTTCTTTATGTTTTCGAAAATTTTTGTACATGATAAATCCAAATACACGTAAAGTAGTACCCATAAACAAGATTCTTCAAGCATACTCGTTTTCAAAAACATGTTTAATCTTGAAAATTAATAATAATAATAATTGAAAGGAGAATGATGTATATTTCGATACTTATGTAATTCTTACCTTCTTTCACATTTATAATTGATTTGAAAATATTACAAAAACATATAATGTATTTGCTTCTAATATCTGTACTATCTCTACAACTTTCTTACAAGTAAGAAAGTATAGTTATAAAATATAATACATAATAATTTAAATATGTTTATTTTTAAATTTATTTATTTATTTATATCTTTTCATATTATGATTAAAAATTATTTTAAAAGTTGCTCTCAATTTACAGCGGCAGGAGATCCGAATGCTTGGAGATTGGGAAGAATCGAAGAGACTGATCACGAAACACCTGTTTAATGAAATGATTGTTAAATCGATGTCATCCTCGACAGTCAATATAACGTAACACCGGTGTTTTTACATAATGCAATTACAGCAAGCTGATATTCATTGTGACTAAATAATGTGCATATTGAAACTGTGCGTAGAAAAAATTGAACTTTCTCTTGCCAATTAATAATTTTCCCAGTGGCTAGTCAACCGTATGCGATAATAAGAGAAAATTCCATCGTTTTGTAGCGTATGATAAATTCCATTCTAGTTTATAAAGCAACTAATCAATAAGTTTATGCTTCCAGTGTATTTGTTGGGTATGCTTGAACATATTGAATTTAAGAGTGGCTATATTTATAATTTACTCCATTAAAGTATTTTAGTATGTTCTATGATGAATGAATAATGGATTAAGACTTTACAAGTATGCAAGTGTAATGAAATGAGGGTGACATATTCACAGCGGCGTAACTTCTGTTAATGCGAGGTCTGTGATGTCGTGGTGGGACTTGATAGAAGTTAGGGAGGCCTAAAGAAACTGATTCTTTCCCATACCCGGAAATAGTGCCTTTTTACTTACACTTCCTTTCTTAATGTTTCCATGGAGAAAATATGTACAATATACTATATGCGCTATATAACTTATATATTTATCCAATGTATCTCGTAGAGTTATCCAAATGTCATATTACATGTTTGAAGATCCATGTTGTGATACTGTTAAGCAACCGATGTTCACGAGTCAAAGAGGCACAAGAAGTTACGCCATTATTAACGCATTGAATATTACGAAGTATAATATAAAGAACATTGTTGCGAGATTTATATCGCTACATTGCTGCTAGAGACGCCGAATCGCGTATACAACTTTCGATACTTAACATAAAAAATTATTACGAATTGCTACAGGATAATATTGTAATTACGATCACAATGCATTGATATACCTAACATCAAGTTAATTATTTCATTATTTTATTTATTTACAACAGTGCGTATGATAATAATTGTTTTATATAATTGAATAAGTGAAAGTAAATACTTTAAGATGTATATTACGTAAAACAAATTGAAGGAAATTCCTTAAAAAAAATGTCAATAATAATCGGGGGGGAAAAAAAATACAATAATTGGAACAATGAGGCTTCAAATAAAGGTCTCGCTTTTAACGGTTAAAATATTTCGGTAAAACTATCGAATGAATAAACACTTTGGAAACAATTTTTGTTTAATCTTTAGAAATATTACATTGAAGAATAGAAAATTGTTAAAAGATATCGAGATTAAGCTCACTTAAAGTTGTAATACATACTTTAAGAAGACTTTTTATATGTAAAGTCATAGAATTCTGAATAATACACATACATAATCTATTTCGGATATTACCGACAGTTTACCACATGATGTAACAATTGTTCTATATTATAACACACGTATATTGCATATCCGTAATTCTGATAACGATATTTTGAACTAAAAATATTTTATGTAGCAAAGTACCGAAATATAGGAATGCCTTTTGATATGTATAAACATAAAATATGCAGGACCATCAGAATTAGTATTTTTTTGCATATGATCCATATATATATATAAAAATAGACAAGTTTTTATTATTTTCTATGTGAATATGAATTATATGTTATTGAATCTTTGTTGTTTATTATCTCTTATTGTTATTATTTTTGTATGTGAAATTGTTTTTAGTATATAGTTAATAAGCAGAGAGTGGCTGATGAGAGAGAGAATTTGAGAAATTTAAATCATATTGGATACAATAAGAATGCGGATAAAATGGCAGCGTGAATAAAGAAAGTTAGTTTTAAAAATCAAAGTAATTTTATTACGTCTTTATGTCCCGTTTTTTTTCTTTCTTATGTTAATATTGTATACAAAAAACATGCAATAATAGGATCTCTTTTAAACCAACCTCGGTTAAGTTAACCGACGGTTACATGGAGCTCATTTATGCCCATTTCTACCAATGTGGATAATCTCGGTTCAACTTACTCTTCACCTTTTTCTAATCTTTAGAACTAGAAAAAGACAATAAGAGTAAGTTGAACCGAGATTAAAGTTAATCTGCGTTGATAGAAACGGGCCTAAAAGACGAAATAAGGAGCACATCATAATCCAATTAGACGTTTATTGATACATTCCATTAAAATGATGCGAATGACAAAACGCTGAAAAAATACGCGATTCATTTTTTTTAAAATAAATTTTCTCGATATTTTCATGAATTCTACAATTAAATTTAATTCTGCAAGTTTTCTATAAGAGTAATATTATCTTATATTTAGACGGATTATTCTAACAAACACAGTAAATAAAAGAAATAAAGAATATTTTCCTTCTGACAAAAGCACGTGTTCTTTTTGATACACGGTTGAAAAGAATGCAAGTAATTGTTAAAATTAACCTATAAAAATATTTACTCGAATAAGATTTAGAATTTTAATATTTTTTATTATTTCAGTGTCACGCGACGACATAATCAAACGAAATTAAAGGAAATGTCACAGAAACGTATACGTATTAATAAGAACATCGATTTTTGAAATACTTGATTGTCGTGATTAAAATCCCAGAATCTCAAAATCGTAGTTCTTAGAATTTTTTAAAATTCTTGGAATTGTATATAGTGCGACTTGTTTGCTGATTATGGCAAGTTTTAATTCATTATTAACTGATTATAAAACCGCATTATTCACAAATGCAACTTTCATGGGGTAAAGTTGTGCATTTACGTATGTGATATTTATCAAAATCAATGAATTTAACAACTATAAGTCTATTCTCTTAATACTTTGCCGATTTTCGTAATTGAAAATCTCGAATTCTCCTAGAATCGTAATTCTAGAAATTTTAGATAACGCGCGCAAGGGGTGATCCCGATTGACCACGGCTCAAATGGACACCACCAATCACAGCGACCAGTGCTTAAGAGCTTTGTAGTCTCAAGCGCTGTGAGTGGCTTGTGTCCAATTGAGCCGTGTCCAACCGGGTGCCACCCGTTTATAGTAAACAAACTATATCAGTAAAAACTTTGTACTGTCTACTACTATGAAAAAAATATTAGAAATCCGAAATATTTATTTTTCATATTAAAAAATAAACTTTTTGAAATCCTTATATTTTTGCCGTAATCCTATAGGGGTAGGATATATGGCTACTCATAGAGGGAGGGGGTACGTATGACTCATGAAAAATTTACAAATAATGCACATAAATAAGACGTATAATGACACAATAACTTATAAAATGTGTTTATAAAGTTTTATTAAGGAATAAGAATGGTAAATACGTATATGAAGTAATATAAATAATAATTACAATCTTCCTACATATATTAGGCCAAAATCAGACTATGTATTGAAGATTGAGATTAAAGATTAACGATTGAAATTTCACCAATGAGGACAAAGAAAGTTTAGCTCCTTTTGTTCTGATTGATCAAACATCAATCTCTCAATCTTCAATCTCATTCTTCAATGCGTAGTTTGATTCCGGCCTTACAAGTGTTATGACATGAGGTACATATTTCATGTAATGCGTTTATTGCATTTAGTGTGCTGAATTCAATCTGCGCAGTTTGTATGCTTTGGGCATAATTTCCACTCACTAAAATTGCCGTATATCCCAAACAGGTGGGATATACAAGACACCAAACTAAACAAAGAATACGAAAGCAAAGTACTTGTATTTTGTTATACAACATGTTTTACTATTCCACTACATGTATCACGAAATAACCACTAAGTCTTTTACACGTCCTACAGTAATCATTTTATGTAGATTATAATTTATGATGGCGTTACTTATTACAGTGACAAATCGATTCAACTCACAATAATTTCATTAATATTAACAGTAAGAAGCTGAAATCATAACACAATACTAGCGACGAGATACTATTATTAAAGACCGACATCCTTACGGGAGTTCGCGTTCTTGTGAATATTGAAGTGATTAAAGAGTTAAAAACTGATAATATTGTAATTTTACGATTTATTAGTTTAGTAGATGTATTTATGCATTTATAACTCAATAATACTCGATTTTTCTTTAAAATTGAGATTTCAGTGATCATCAAAGTTTGATTATCAATATAAAGATAATATTGCAGAGAAAAAATTGTGATTTTTTGCAATATATAGGATATTACAACTTTACAAGTTTTATTTATGGGACATTTATGTAATAAAAAAATCATGAATTTAATAATGCACGAGCCAAATATTTATGTTAATAATAGCAAATTTATATCAATTGTCGATAATGTCAGCGTTCTTCAATTACCTCCGGACCCTTTTTATACCGCCGAAAATTTGCCCAGGGTTGATGGTCTTTAATAATATCTCATCGGTGGTTTAGCTTAGTTTATGCATTTTACGCCAGATCACGTGGACGTTTGTGGCGTTTGTGCTTTCCGTTTACCGGTCATTATTGTCCTCCGCGTGCTTCCGCGGTCCTCCGTTTTGAGACCCGCGTGGCAGTGCGTGATTGTGAATAATTTTCGTTAGAAATATACAATATACAATAAAATCGAGAAACTTGGATTGCATATAACCGAAGTCGTTGACTATTTAAAAGAAAAGTGCGATAGAAAGAACGGTCAAGGTACTATCCTTTAGAGGACAGACTTTGCTCTGAGGAATCTTATGAAATCTAGAAGAAAGGCGAAAGAAAAAGTAAAGTGCAATACGGTGCTTTGGAAGTAACACGTAATCGTAAAGAAGAATAAAAACAAAACAGATAAAGCTCGATTGGCGATTATACGGTGAGTAGTATCACAATATTTGTCGCTATTTACAGGGAGACCAATCTCCCCTCTTGTTCCGAGCGGGTGGCACCCAGTTGGACACGGCTCAATTGGACACGAGCCACTCACAGTGCTTGAGACTACAAAGCTCCTAAGCACCGGTCGCTGTGATTGGTGGTGTCCAATCGAGCCGTGGTCAATCGGGATCACCCCGTTCCACTATTTATCGCGATATGTACAACTGTTGTTTGTGGTTAGTTTAGACCCACGTGGATGTATTGCGTGTTGTTTGTATATTTGAGGACATTTTCCAGTAAGGCACAGTGTACCATTACATCCTTATTATTTACCATCATTAAATAAAGATTAAACGATTCACTGTATTATATAGTGTCCTTTCTGAAAAATATCTTGATATTACCTATATAGGCTTCTGCTATAAGAATCTAGTGTCAGCCTTAGTATTATCCCGAAAAAGGTTTTTTATATGTCCACAAATGTTGTGAGATAAATAAGTAAACTTCTCTTTATCAAGATGCTTCAAATGTATCATATTGATTTTTGGATTTCTTTTTCAGATGGATGAAGTATCACCAAAGGCATATCCACTGGCAGATGCATCGCTGACCATAAAGATATTGAATTTGGTGCAGCAGGCATTGAGCTATGGTCAACTGAAGAAGGGAGCAAACGAGGCTACAAAGTCGTTGAATCGTGGCCTGTCTGAGTTTATAGTGATGGCTGCGGATACTCAGCCACTGGAGATTCTGCTCCACTTACCACTATTGTGCGAAGACAAGAATGTACCCTATGTTTTCGTACGGAGCAAGCAGGCTTTAGGACGAGCTTGTGGTGTTTCGAGACCAGTGGTAGCCTGTTCAGTATTGGTCAATGAAGGCTCGCAATTAAAACCACAGATCAAAGCCATACAACAAGAGATTGAGAGGCTTTTAATCTAAATGATATCTATCTATTTGTTATTTTTAATACCTCATTATTAGTACACATAATGTAAATCTTTATTGCTACTCAAATTGGTGTGTTTAGTGAATAGTTTGAATGAGCAATTATTGCTATTGTATATGTATATTCTTTTAGATTATGAATCTAAAGGTTTACTCCAATCATAGGCAATAATTATTGAACGCTCACTCAATTGATGTATTCGCCGATGCATCCAATATTTGACATGCACGAAACAGTTTTACTGTGCTGTATTTATAAAAAAAATCTCTATATTCAATCTCTTTTACGTATGGAATTTGTTTGTATACAAGATAAATTTAAAGCATTAATAAAAAGTCCAAACAAAACAAAACAAATTTGTTTTCTACATATACATATTACAAAAATAGAAACTTAAAAATAATTAAACGCTTAAATCATTAAATTGTTGGTATACTAAGAAGCTAAGTTGGAATACTAAGAAAAAATGAGGTCTTTTTTTGGAGTAGATGTACACCCAAAGACTTCGATTCTTTCCCTCGATTACTTTTTTAAAACTTCCAAAAATTCAGGTTATTTCGTTTATACGTCAAATTTAGTTGTAAATGGATGTAAGGTTTAGTCGTGTCGTTAATTGCACACGGACTATGAGCATTAATGTAGAAAAGTGGTCATTTTTCAGTTTGTGAAAATTTTCGAGGGAAAGAATCGAAGTCCTTGGAGGTGTATAAGCGCGTCATCCTATCTATCACAACTCGCAGAGATAACGTACTTATGTACATTTATCTATTCCAAAATAGGATCCTATTTTTGCTGTTCAGTGTACAGCTAATTTACTCAAGTCTTTTAAAAGTTAACATATTAATTTAAAATAAGTAATTATCATACATTTAAGAGTGTGATCTACTTAACACTACAAATACTTCGAAGCATTGTCTGATTGATCAATTCGTAAATTTTTTCTTTTAAATTTTAGTCAATAAATTGCAGCGTCAAATAAATCATACCATAAAGCTGGGAACAAAGACTTGTATAAGGCATAAAAAAATCAACCAAGCAGAATATGAAATGAAAAATTTTGATTAGTTGATTCTCTTACACCTTATGCAGCGTTATGCAAAAATAACGCTTCTGTGCTTTCAGTTTAAATGTTTACACTAATTCTTATTCATTTTTGCATAGTCTGAAGAATGTAAGTGTATTGCTGACCTCACTGTAACAAAGAAATTATGTAACGAATTACTAACATTGATTCGACAAATGTATTATGTGGAGAGAAATATGTTATTCATCGGATTGACAGATGTGATAAGCTCAATGAAACGAAATTTAGTGGAATTTATTGTACTTGCCGAAAATGCAACGCATTTGATGGTACCATTGGATTTTCTCACACATTTGATAAAATTAGCGGAGGCAAAAGAAATACCTTACATTTATATATGTAAGAAGGAGCAACTTGGTCAAGCATGTCTTATATCTACCGGTATAAGTGTCGTTGCAATCAAGATTGGATCTTCTTATTTCTCTGAGAAACTTAAAGATATCAAACATACAATAATGAGTATGACGTCAAGAAAATCATCAACTATAACTTTGTAACATTAATGGTCCATATTTTTACAAATTAAAATCTTATACTTTATTATACATTATAAAACATAATAAAATATTCTTACATATTAATATAATAAATGTCACTCCCAATTTATGGAAATACAATGGAACAATATAATCAAATCACTTTTGAAAATGAGGCAACACGTTGAGCCTCCAGTTACCATGCCAATTCTGCTGAGATGTAAACATGTTTTCTTGAAACTTTTCACGTAATTGTTGTTGGGCCTTGTTATTGGGGAAATCTTGAAACCACATCTTCAATTGTTCAGCCAGCTCCTTTTCGTCCGCGAATACCAAACTATTCTCATTATGCTTTACTAACTCCGATAAGCTAAACAATAAGACGCATTCTTTCTTTTAGTAAACAGATCTACTGATATATACAGGTTTTCTCAGAAATAAGATAGGAGCCGCAGGGGGCGCAGAATGGGAACAAAAAAGTCTGATACCATTTTGAGATATTCGCTGTAATTTTCGAATTAAAAAAAGAAACGTATAAGCCAATATGCGGTGAAGCTGCGTCGCGCGAATTCGTAGCACGGTCCATCGCGCCTCAAGCTGACTTTTCATACGCAGCACGCTGCGGCAGCAATTCATTGCTATTGGTTAAAAATTTTACATGAGATGACGCACTTCCGGCGCAAAATACATTTTGCCACATCTCATTGAAGTTCAACCGAACGAACAATGAGCAGCAAAGAATTCGAAGCTGAGAAAATCTGCAATACTTGCAAAAAATGTGAAAATTGAGTACATTTACAATGAGTACATACAATAAGTACATTTTTATTAAGATTTGAAGTGATGGGGATATTCTAAATTCTAAATAATTACCTGAAATGGTAGTTGTCCAAATTGTAACTGCACTAACAGTTGCCATATAATCACAAGTTTTTATCTTTTTAAGTTTTCCATATTAATTTTCGAGCTGAGCAAATAAAAAACACATATTTGAGGTTGAACTTTAATACATATGCTATTACCGTTATTCCTTTTCATGCGCAGCAAATACATTGGAAGCAATTATGTAAAATTTGCATCACGTGACATTTTTGCTGCCGCAGCGTGCTGCGCATGAAAAAGCACCTTCACTCGACAGCAGCGGCAGTGGTGCGCCGTCGAGAGTGAGGCGCGATGGGCCGTGCTACGAATTCGCACGACGCGACTTCACCGCACATTGGCTTATGTTTCCTTTTTTAATTCGAAAACTACAGTGAATATCTCAAAATGGTATCAGACTTTTTGTTCCCCTTGACCCATTCTATGCCCCCAATGTGGCTTCTACCTTATTTCTGAGACACCCTGTATATAGTAATGTTATATTAATCGTATTACAATACGAAAGTAGGAGAAGAAGAGCTAAGGGTGGTTTTACAATAGGAAAAAGGAAAGGTTGGTGAGTTTGAAGAAAAGTTTATACAAAAAAAGGAAGAGAGCATAGTATACTCGGAATTAATAATAAACAAGGGAGGATGAGGATCATATCGGTATATGGAGAGCAAGGAGGAAAAGTATAAAAGAAAAGTTAGAAGGATAATACTAAAGAATACCAATTAAAATTGTATGCGCAAACTGGTAAACGGCAGCCAAACATATCTACGACTTTCATTGGTAAATCCAGTCCACTGGATGAGGTGTGAAGACACACACCTAAGTCTGCACTAGCTATTTTAAAGATAAAAAGTATTTAAAGTATTCTATAAAAATATTTTATAAATAATGATTATATTATATTAACTCTGTCTAAAGTCACTATGATTAAAAAATTCTAAAAAATAAAAAATGTTCACATACATTAAAACTTACACTGACACAGATGAAGTCATCAAATATCAGAAGTTTTTAATAAAATATTAATAAAAAAATTAATTTTACTTTTAATTAGCAACAATATGCAGAAATATGCAGAAATGGACATATTATACCTAATATTTTGGGGTATTCCTCATTCTTGAGCCATGGTGTCTTTATTTCAACATGCTTCCATTTTTTTAAATCAATGATTGCCATATAAAAATCCTTTAACGGTCCTTTACCTGTTATTACGCAAATTAAATCTGGCAAGTTTAATTCGCCATTTTCACATACGTTCTCATATTCTATAAAACAAATATTACACAAATATAATCCTTTTAAATTATCACAAGATTACTAAATCTTATGATAATTAAGATACACACCTTGTAATGCGTTTAGCAAAATTGAGAAATCTTCATCTTCAGTCCAACTAGTACTAGATACAATAAAGCCAGATCTTATGGGTGGTATATATATACCATATGTTTCAGCTAATTCTTGCAAAAACTCATTCTTCTCTGTTAAAGTTATTGGACGGAATTTATCTGTTGGTCTATCATATAAAATCTTTGCTCTGTAATAAAAAAAGCTCATTAAGTAAACCATTTGTTTTTAAAATGTAATATAAATGTAACAACTAACACTTACTGGATAGTCCATTTCTTTTCCAAATCTTCTTTCATTGCTTTGCTGACACAGAAATTATTCTTTGCTCTGCAACCAAACATTGTCTCGATATTTTTTGATAATCTAACTAAGATATGGTTTTCTCCCAAGCTCAATGCCATAATTGAATGGGCATAATTATGCCAATCAATTGTAAATTGTGCCTCTGTTAGAATACAATAAAACCAGCATATTGGAATGGTTGGTATTGCAGGTGGATTCTGTGTTATTACTGAATCTGATAGGCGTTTACGAAGAAACAACCATAAAAGATCAGTCATTTGCCATATAACTTTTATTATGTAACAAAAAAGACGTGGCAATTCTGAAATAATAACAAGAGTGCAATTGTTATCGAAATCTATAAACACATACAAAAATGTTAAAAAACAGATCAAAACGTAAATTATATAAAAAAGATCATGAGGAAATGTAAAAAGATAATAATATCCAATTCGTACTATTTCGTAACTCAGGAGGCGGTCGCAGATAGTGGACCTGTATGCGCGCATTTTCACTGATCTCCTTCATCGGCGGTGAGCCGGGATAACCTACAACATCCACGGTGAAACCTTCTCGGGCGAAGGAAATTGCATGATATTGCATTCGCGGACTTCTGCCAATATCACCAAGTACCAGCACGCAAACATTATTGCCGGATTTGAATTTGTTCAGGTAGAATTTACGCATAACAAAAAGAATCAGCGGGAATAGCAGGAATATTAGCATCAACATTTCAAATGAGAACGGAACACGACAAAACAGCTGATTCGCGCAGAGAACCAATAGATTTGTTCTTCTTGATACACGAGAAGCGTAAAGTGTATGTACACCACACACGTTTACACTCCATTTTTTGGGAGGGGGGGAAATGTCGTGTAAAGTGTAGGCTTTTTAAGGAGAACGCCAAAGTGTACATACAACAGCTATTTACAGGGCTCAGTAAAATAACTGATACGACCTATTTAAAATATAAAATATAAAATAAGTTCCAGAAACTTATTTCAAATATAAAATCGTAGGAGTCGATAAAAGAGTGATACGATTTATTCGAAATAATAAATATAAAATAGGTTCCAAAAATTTATGTAAAATATTAAATAAGAAATACGTCGCAAAAAATTATTAAAAATATAAAATAAGAAATAGGACTCTAGAATGCATTTTATTTATTTGAAATATATAATAACTTTTATTTAAAATGTCAAAATAGCTTGCTTTTTTATTTTGAATTTCTTTTTGAAGAATATTCTTATTTTAAATAACAAATTGTTTTCGAAAATTTATTTAAAATAACCTATTTTATATTTAAAAGAAGTTCTTGAAATCTATTTTTTATTTTAAGTAAAAACTACATTTCAAAAACTAACTCAAAATATAAAATAAGAAATATGTATTTGAAATAAACGTTTTAAATAGGAAATACAAAATATTTAAATAATTTTATTTATATCTTGATATATGAACATACATTTGAGAATATATTTATAAGTTTATAACATTTCCGATTTTACCATTTTAGTTTTTTTATAACTATAGCTTCTAATTAGTGTTATTATATAGTTATACTTACTATTAGGCAACAAAATAAGTATTTAAGTAATAAGAATATATAAACTTAATAAGTAATTATTATATTATATAAATAAAATAAAAATGATAACTGATATGATTTATTTTAAATAAAAAATAGGTTTCAGAAAATTGTTCAATTATTTAAAATATCGTAATCGATAAAAGAGTGGTACGACTTATTCGAAATAAAAAATATAAAA